GACTTCAGGCTTCACAGAAAGGAAGATGAACATCAAAGTGGCAAAACGTCGAGAGGGGGACAGAATAATGATTCACAGACGTAAAAGAGACAGACAGACACAAAGGTAGAAAAAGGTGAGGTGAGTACTGTGAAATTATTCGAATATGAATATATGTATGATGTAGTACTGTGAAAGTGGTCGAACATGTCATACAGTGGGGTCATGGTAGTTTGAAGTCAGAAGTCAATTGCCGGTTAATAGACTTTTTGCCGTATGAGTATACGTTGCCCAGGGTGCACCACGTGGAGGTAAGTCTATCGCACACCCCGTCACACAAATATAAATTTATAGGTCTGTAATAATTATTAGAATCCTGATAATAATTCAGTTAAATGTTTGTTGGTGGTTCAAAATTTGCCCATGTTTTTGGTAGCGCAAAAGTTATGAACACCTGGAAAAATGAAATTTTGTTTTTTATGCTCTCCTACATTATGAGTTATGTTTCGCTGAAAGATTTCTGGAGAGGATATGAGGAATATTTCATTGCGTATTGTTATTAAGTATTATACATTTTACAGATGATTAATTCTATCTAGATTATAACTTTGCTTAAGGTATATGCCAGTCTTTCCGTCGATAACAATAACAGATTGATAACTGCAGAGTAAACTAAATAGCTTTACAAAAATGAATAGCAGAAGTCAATGTAGTGCATATTCATATAAATGCCATATTTACCCGAAATATTGGTAGATAGAATAGAGATCTTAGAAATGCTAAATTAAATTAAAATAAAAAATCTAAATTGAAGATCTTAACTTTTTTATTTAATATTTTCCACATGAGTTTTCATAATTTTTACCTATATATTTCGTCAATCATTTATATTTTTCGATCATTATGTAAATACTGATCGCAAATAAATAGCTATCTTCAATCCATTCATTTTAACACATATATTGTTAAACCTTGTGCAAGCTACAGCGCTAAACCCGAAAATTCTAAATCACATTTTGGTTTTGTGGTGAGCTTGCTGTATTGTAAGATTCTGCCGGAGGGCAGCGATTTTATCAATCTAAACGCCAACGCATTTATAATAATTAGAATTTTGATATAAAGAGTCTGGCTTATCATTTTAGTATACGATGTTTGCTTCAAAAAGTGTTCACAGTTATCACGCAGATCTTATCCACGATGTTGCATATGATTACTATGGACAGCGAATGGCCACGTGTAGTAGCGATCAAATGATTAAAGTATGATCATAACCACTTAATTAATTTTGAATGGACGTAGCCTACTGGTCCTTAATTTATTATCCAGATTTGGGACCTACGTGATGACCAAGAGTGGGAATGCACCGCCAAGTGGAGATATCATCTGGGTTCTGTTTGGCGCGTTTGTTGGGCACATCCTGAATTCGGACAGATTATTGCAACCTGCTCTTTCGATCGGACTATCGCTATTTGGGAAGAGATTACCGGACAAGTACGTTGATTAAAGAATTTCCACTTCAATTTAATTTACTAGCACGAATGTATCTTATCTTTTGCCTGTTCACATTTTCAGGCTTTAAGATTAATTGTGAGTTTATGTAATTTGTTTTCTTAACTTTACTGAATTTGTAATTTGCTTTAATCGACAGCTAGTCAAATTCCAATATTTTTTGTGCTGTTCGTCGGTCATGAAATTGCGTCACCAAGTTTTAGATATGGTGATAAGACCACGATTCTATATGCTTTTTCGGCTTTTCTATTTTTAAGCAAATATTTCTTGGACCTATCAACGTTCTATCATTCGTAAGTACTGCTATAAAACACGATATCTAATTTGTTCTGTTAAGTCAAATCCTCCTATTAAAACATTCAATAGTGTTAATTAATCTGCGCACAAATTTTTGCCATTATCTTTGAAATTGCTATCTTTTTTACGATTATTCATGCCGATGCTCCTGGATCTAAGTCCATAACTGGCGTAAAGCCAGAGTTCATTGGTTCGATATGCACTGCTGTGTCCCCAATTATCTTAGTGTTCAATCGTACTAATAATGTCTTGATAATGCCTTCCAAAATGGAAGTTTCCTCTCTGCTTGTTGTTTTCAATTTCTTGCAACTACTTTCTATGTAATTCATCTCCCACATTTCCCATTAGTTTCCTATAGTGCTGTTCATTTCGTCTGATATTCAATTGGCTATATTTCTTTCCTATGCCTCCTCGTATTTTTTTTATTTACTAATTTATTTTCTCTTTTCTCGCATATTGAATAATTCATTTTTCTCATGTTTTATTCATTATCTTTACTCGATTAAATGCAGTTGAAAAGTACCTTATATCCTTTGGGTTTTCTTATCACCTGATAATAGACTCTGACTTCAACTTATTTGGTAATTACCATCACGTCAAGTAGGCTTTTAGTGATATGAATCGTTGAATCACTTCATTATCTTTTCCTATTTTGAGCACAGCAGTGCCGTTTTCTTCAACATGTATCAAACCTTACTAACTTATTTCCACCTACTTAAACTTTTTTTTCTACTTAGTTTGTTCATATTACTGTCGTATTCCTGCTTATTCCTGATGCCATTACTGGCTTGTCCAAATTGTTTGCTTTGTCATGATAGATTTTCTACGCTAGTTGGAATGTTCGTTACGTGAAAATTTGCGTTAATTGCCAAAAAACATTTATGGATTATCTGTCGAAGATTGATACTTGCTTAGGATTTTAGTTTTGTTTTAAATGTATCTTTTCCCATTTTTACGTTATAATTAAAGTTGATTTATTGATAAAGTGCGTCTGCGAGATGAATGTAGAGTTTTAAGATCTTTCCTTTTGAAAGACGGAATTAGGTTTGACATTTTCTTTCCTGTGTATACAATATCACATTTTCATTGCTTGCTCAGTAACTCGCCTGCTTGGCTAAAAGTTGTCCCTTCAGAACCAAATACATATCACCTTAAAAGTCTCGAAGATAGAATAGCAAGCTTGCTCCTGCTGTATAAGTGGGGAGATCTATTTACTTTAATGATGGTGACGACATTTTTTACCACCAGTAACACTTCTTTTAGCTTACGTTAGATAACAATTACATCTTCCTTACCTGTTATAGTTACATATATTGCTTTACGAAGTTATTATTAAATGGTTGCATTTGCTGCTTCCTTATAGGATGCAGGCACAAGCGGAGATTCTGCAGCGACTCCCGCGCAAACTTCAGGAACCGGTGGAGTTAACGGTCGTCAGCCTTCAACTGTTGCAGCTCCAAATACTGGCCCTGGTTCTCTAGGAGTATCCTCAGCCGCAGCCGCGGCCAACACTAATCCCGCAGGCACATCAAACACCCGAGGTGGAGTGTGGATACGTCGTGCTCACTTGGTCGATCCACGTAATTCTGTTACTGGGTTGATGTTTGCACCCAGATTCCTTGGGCTTCAACTGGCTGCTATTTCCACGGACGGAGTAATGCTGGTGTATGAGGCTCAGGTGGGTTCCATTCCCCTTTCTATTTTTTATGACTTACCAAATGCACCTTTCTGTTGCATTGGTCGAATATACATATTGCCTATTGTCTTTTGGAAATCAAGTTAATTAATTGAGATGAGCATTAATCTATGTTCATTTTACAAAATTTAGCTACTTTACTTAGATTCATCACACACTTGTGATCTCTTCCATAATTGGGATGCGTTTTCTGATTTTTACTGTTCCGGGTTTTTTTATGATTTCAAAATTTTACTAACCCTAGATAAGTTTGGAGTGTTGATAAAACGAATTCGGCATCCAGTGGCGCAAATTTTTGATTTGAACTTCCTCTTAAAGATCTTTAAATGTTAAAGGATGCGCTATGTAATCAACCTAATAAAATGGGTTCTTTGTAAGACCCTTAACGGATTCAAGGAGCATAAAGAACTACTTTTATATAGATCGAATTTTATGTAAAACTTAACCCTATTCACATTCCCTTTAATATAAAACCGAATGATATGTCTACTCTTTTATAAATAAATAATTGTAGACTGATTTAACTGTTTTTTGGCCCGAATGGAATTTCAACCTCCCTCAAAATGAATGACTGAGAAATCTTATTTTGTTTAGTAGCAAGTGTTTCTGTCAAAAATGTTCGATTAATTCCATGGATTTGGATTACGTCCTTCGAAAATTTGGCTTGAACATGACGACAGAGATACTGCCCGGTGCATGTGCATAGGTGATGTGTCGGTTTTTCCATATCGGTGTCATTTCACTGGTTTTAATATAGCCTTTAGGGGGTGTGCATTAGACTTACCTATGTGACCTACAAAAGCAAGTGGAGAAGACCCACCTAATTCGGTGTTCATCCCTTATGACGACAGAAACCCAGAGATACTGGGAATCCAGAAGACAACTATTGAAATACTGTTAACTGTCCTAAGGCCTATATACATGTTCCTCCCCACTCCCTTGTGAAATCCGAAGTCAACTAAGGGGCTAATGATAAATATCATAAA